TCTCTCTCTCTCTCTCTCACACACACACACACACACACACAAGCCTGCGCACACACACAGCCCAAACAGTCGGCGATGAAACCTAGATCTAGAGTGTGCGAGGCGGCAGAGCGGGTCTGCCACGGTGAGATCTCGTCAACTGGCGAGGGAAGCCCCGGAAGACGATAAAAATAGATGGCTGAAATCATCATCATCATCATCATCATCATCATCATCATCATCATCATCATCATCATCATCATCATCATCATCATCATCCAGTGCCAGATCTGCGACAGACATCAGCGATCATGGTTTTTCCATTCGTTCCTTTGCTCGGATGCTCTCAAAAAGCTACGTTTCCCTGATCTTTCCCTGTTACCCATTTTTTAATGTTCTTTAAGTATGTTGTTCTGGGCCTGCCCCTGCCTCGCTTGCCCTCAATTTTACCAGTGAGAGCTAGATGTTCAAGACCTTTATGTCTATTTATGTGTCCCAAAAACTGCATTTGTCGTTTCCTCATTGTTTTTAACATTGGCTGAAATACGTCATCAATATTTGGGCCAATCACAGAGATGTGCTAGTTGCTCGCTGCAGCTTCATTTCTACGAAATCCATCAATCCCTCATTTGGTTTGAATAGCCATGTGCGCCACTTCCAAAGTCATGCATCATCAGTGCCACATACAACCTATATGCTTTTACCGACAAGAACACACCTTTTCGGGCTTAGGGATACAAAAAAATCAAGAGCCCAAGGGATCTTTTCCCAAAGATTTTCGCTTTTGAATTATGGAAATGATATGATTTTGACCTTTGACCAAATAATGAGTATCCCTCTCTCTTTTTTGTTGTTGCTTTGATCTGTTTTCACCTCAACTGCCCAGATGTGATAGCTAAAACAGGATTATGCTCTGAAATATTTTGGATTTCACGCTTTTCTTCATCTTTTGTTGAATTGCCATTGGTTGTTTTGTGGCATCGATATGTTCAAATGTTCAAACCTCTTTTGCTGTAGTGTGATAGTCATGCTGAGATATCTTGCTCAAAGTTTGGCCACCAAGTCGGCTTGGATAAGAAAAACAAATCTAGGAAGTCCCATAAGCACGTCGCACTTATTAAATATTCCTTAGTAATTGGAAAGCAAAAAAGAGTAGACCCTTAGACTGCCACTTATGCAAAGTTCAAAATTAAAAAAATATTCCCTACTCTGAAACTACCCCCATCGCACCTGTAAAATAGCAAGCCTCACCCGTCACACCTCCCTTGATTCCAGACATATTGACTAGGCTTCTCCTCTGGAGCATATCAAAGGAGTCAAGATCTGAAGGGAAGGAAGCATGCAGCTCTTGGGCTATTTGCTTCTTCTATTTCAACCGCCCAGGCAAAGCAAAATCATGCAAACTGCTTTAGCCCTATCCGTACGTCGTGCTTTACTATCGTATCCATACGAAGTGGGGAAGTCTGTGCCACAATTTTCCAAAGAAGAAATTTACTCGTTAATCCGATCCGTAGGCTTTGCATAGCAGTCTGTCAAAATGATTTTTTCAAAAAGATCTTCGTACTAGAAGTATTCTAAAATGTGAAGAATACAACCCTGGAAGCATAAAATGAGCCCAGACCGTACGGATAGGGTTAAGATCGTCTTTCACGATAGAAAAGGCCATACTGTCCTGCACAGAACACCCCCATGTTGTGTTTTGAAACATTTTTTAGTTTATAGATTCTTCCTGAAAACAGCATTAGTGAAAAATTCATATTAAAACCCATGAAGGAAATGACAATGATATTCTGAGGATAAGTGCAGTTTCTGGGACACCTGAACAGACATAAAAGTCTACATCTAGCTCCCGCTGGCAAAATTGAAGGCGAACGAGGCAGGGGTAGGCCAAGAGCAACTTACATGGATGAGTAACGGGGAAAGATTAGGGTGATATAGCTTTAAGAGCATCTGAGCAAAGGAATGAATGGAGAACCATGATCGCTAATATCTGCTGCAGGTCTGGCACTGGATGATGATAATGATGATTCTGAGGATGAAGAAATATGTGAGGCATCGTAGTGAAATCAGGTGCTCTTCAAAATAATGAAATTGAAGAAAAATGCATTTTCCCATCAGTTTGGCAATTTTTATCGAAGTTTTTTTGTGTGGCTAAACACCTTTTATGTTAATATGAAAACACATTTACATGTGAATTTTACCGAAAAACCTTGAATAAAGAGGCACAAAATATGTAATTTTCAGTTTTCAAGGACTCCTAAGCTGTTGAAGTTATCAAACGTTGGCGGCCATTTTCTAATTAATTTAATCTCTGAAACCATGCTAACCCACCTAATATCTCGACTTCTGTTCAAGTTAGATGGGTATTTTTTTCACGGAAAGCAAGGCGAATGAAAAAGTTTTCAGATGGTACCAATAACTCCACAGGTCCTAAAATCGAAGAACGCCTGATTCTACTGCGTCCTGACACATATTCCGAATTGTTGAACTGTAGTTTACAGAGAGTCAGCAGGATGACGGAGAGACATTAACAAAAAAAATCCCAACCCAAATTCCTCTTTTGTATGAGAAAAGAATGTATTCGGCTTTGATTTGTTTCTTTTAACATAATATCTTGTTTCTCATCATTTTTCTTTGATGTTCATTGACTAATGTTCATGTTGTCTTTATGAGTCTCAAATCTCACTGATACTACTGGAAATGATGTCTATTTCTTGTCTTTGTGAGTTATATTTGCTGTGCAAAGTGTGGAAGACAAAATGTGTCACACATTTGGTTGATTGTCTTTGTTTATGGTCACCTTTCAAATTCTACATTTTCGTATGCTGGAGCAGCAAATTCTCTGTACGCATCTAATAGACGAGATGAAATTCCTTTCCCAAAGATGAATCTTTCCCAAAACGTGGAATGATTTATTATTTTTTGCTCAACAGTTTCGCATTTTGCCTCTTTTTGTGGAAGGTGAAGAAAGAAGTTAAGAAAAGAATATAAACGAGGACTGAAACTGTCTCTGTACTGCTACTGAAGACTTTCATGAGAAGTTTACTTTTCTGACAGCTGTGCTTTAATGAGTGTATGACACAGAAAAACGGGCTTACTGCGTTCCTAGTATTCTGTTATGACAAAAATCCAATGCCAAGACGTCGCTGATCACTTTTTTCAGTATCAAAGACATAGTGCACGAGAGGGCCTGGTTGCATTCGGATGTGTTTCGTGCTACGGTATGTCGGGACCACCCACTCCTCATGGCTTATGTTTCTCCAAAATTTCTCATTTTACAGCATCTTAAGAATATTTATTATATTTTTGAAGATATGTTTTGTTTTAACTTTTGCACTAGATTTGAATATTTCTGGTCTTCAGCAGGGGTCTTTGATCTAACCATTTGAACTTTTCCTAAAATCAGCTTTTTAGTTCTGGTTTTCCTTACACGCTTTTCACTTTCCAAAGATAGTTTTGAATTTAGTATATTACCTATAAAAAGTTGACAACTTACAGGTCATATAGTTCAAAATCATTCTGAGCAGCTTTAAAGTCCTCAGATGTTGACGACAGACTTTGTAGAACTTTTAATGTCCTCTATCAGTGACTTTGAAAACAAAGTAAAGATGATGTTTTAATTTTTAAAAACTGAAGTGATCATTCATCTTAGAAACAATGCTTCACGGAATTAAACATTTATTGCTTTCTAAATTGTTTTAAGTACAGATCCTGTACAGAATGCAATACAATTTGAAGTACAAAACCCCTATACATGCAACACTATTTGAGTATACCCCCCCTCCCTTTGCTGTCAAACACACAGTCACACAAAATTTAATGCGCTTTCCCCTCACTGAGTGTCTCAAATCACTCCTCCCCCTTCCAGATTAATAATATTGTCTTATCAAATGAAATGTCTGAAAACCAAACATTTGCTGCCATTAACTGAAGAAAACAAACAGTGATGAGTAGGATTTTGCTTTTTTCATCGAATAGAATCTTCGCTGTATGCTGATCTACTTAAAGGAATTTACTACCAAAATGAATAACATTTTGTCTGTTATCTATTTGTGGTGGCCGAATTTTGCTATTCAAAAGGCTTTTTAATGGCTGCATCGATCGACAAGCGGTTTTCGCCTAAAAATTCTGTAAAATATTCTCCAGATCATGACGCCCTTCGTATTTTCAGTTTTGAGACAGTTTTGCTGCTAAAAACTAAATTTTTTTTATTTCGCCGATCGCTTTTGTAGGCCGACGCTTCTGTCTCTGTAATTTTAGAAAATCCGGTGCGGAAGGGATATTTTGCGTGGCGCATTTTGTTTTGAGAGTATAGATCTAGATCTAGACCTAATTTTTTGCTTCTCTCAAGATTTATTGTTCAACTCCAGTAGACTGTATAGTAGGCCAATGATTTTCAGTTGATGTTAATGCACCGATCATTCCTTTCATCGAAAGGGGGCCCAGCTAGTACTTTATAAAAATACTTAGACCATTTTGCCTCTGGCGGGTGTTTCTCCATCTTCCTACAGTTTACATAATAACGCTGCTTTTTTCCCCACATAACGTCTTTTTTTTTTCTTCAGCCCTCTTTTTGACGAGATTTGTACGTAAATCATCAGACTTTTCTCCTTGTTCGTTTGTTTGATTGTTTCGTAGTTTTTCAAAACGCTTTTGCTTACTTTGTTTTATTCACTTCTCCGATTCACTTCTGCAACTTTCAGCATCAAAGACATCCTGCATGAAAGGGCGTGGCTACAAACTGATGTTTTCTCGGTCACGGTAGGTACACACTGGCTTGCCATCTCATTCACGCACCCTTTGGTCTTCATTTCACGCTCTTGACTGAACTCTTTATCTCTACATATTATTTTTGTGAAAGTTCGTCACTTTGGCCGCCTAAAACTTCGGAACCACTTAAATTATTTCGAATTTGACAAAATTAGTGGTTTCAGAATCATTTAAAGGATGCACAGTTTTATTGAGGAGCCTGAAGTCACTGTAGTTTAATTTTCAGTTTTTCATTAGTTTTGTTTAGATCTAATCTTGGGAAAGTCCGTCTTCTTAGATGCCATTGTAAACAAGTGAGGTTTGACAGACAATGTCCATCAAAGGAAGAGAACAGATCGTATCCCGCCTCCTGACATCACATTTTCCACCTCCCGCATTCTGATTAATTCTACAACGACCGACTCACTTCCAGCAGAGTGTAAATATAGTAGGCCAATAACTTTCAGTTGATGTTAATGCGCCGATCAGCTAGTCTACTATACGTAAAAGGGGTCAAGCAAAAAAAACTCAACAAAAACAGGCAAAGTCGCATTGATCCCACCACTACTTTTAACCTACATGTATTTTACACTCTTTCTTGATGGACTCTTATTTTCTTCCTAACTTGATTGGCTTTTATAAAAGATACAATTTGTGAATGCATGAGTTGATTTTTTCCACTTAATTAATTTCATAGGGACATTCAATGGGTAGTTTTTTTTAAATGCACTTATGATGTTTGTCACTTCACCCCACATGTGTACATGTATTTGCTTAATTAAGAAAAGAAAGAATAAGTTGTACCTGTCACAATTTGGCTACAGGTTGAAAAAAAAAGTAAGTATCAGTTTGAAGTAAGAGGTTGACAAAAAATGTACGCAGAAGGTCATTGTATCATTGTTCTGTTTCTTATCTTTTAACATCAAAAACTTTTTGAAAAATATGCCTTTATTTGAGTTATTTTGGACACATTCTATAGGACCCCTACCAGTGGGTGGCTGGCATGTGCTCTGGTGTGGTTTGCAAGTTCTTTCCGATCAAACATCTATCGTCCTTATCTCTCCTTCTTTTTTGTGTTTGTTACTCTCTTGTAATACGTCTAATCT